CCTCCTTGGAACCTGAAAAGCCCTACAAGGAAATCCACTTGCAGACCACTGCTGTTTCTGTTTCTTGTTCAGAGTAATGCGTACCTGATCAATGTGTGTATCCCGAAATCTTCGTGCACCACTATATAAACATATTCATCATTCCAGCAGGCAGAAGTTAAAATATTGCACTTAGATTCAGCCTTGTGAAGCAGTGAGCGGACGAGCAACACTACAGAGTGAATTGTAATGTAAAATAATCATTCAAATTCTGGAGATTTTAAAATCTCCAAACAAAAAGAAATAAAAAGCACAAGTTGAAATGTAAATTTAAACTGAAATAATAGACAACACATATTTTGAACAAGAGGCTACATTCTGCAGATATGAAATTAAAAAATAAATGTCGGTCCTTGAATATCAAAATCATTATTAATTATCGGTACCATTTACTAATCGCGCCCTCGGCTGTTGATTACTCAGCCTTGAACAGCCGCAATGCGGTTGTGTCACATAAACCACAGCAATATTGTTGTGTTCTGACACTAAATTGCGTTTTAAAACGAACTGACTTAAAATGAAATTCTTGGAACATACAGATATTTTAATTAATTTTTAAAAGGTTAGTGTTAAATGTTTCATAGATATTTTATAATTGGAAACATCTTGTATTTATATGTATGTAATTTGTAATAAATTGGGTTTCCCCTTAACAAATGCTACCATCTAGTGGCGAGTTCTGTTTCATGCTACAGTACGACATTCACAACATAATCTGTACTCGATTGCATACATTTTTAGTTTGAAATGTAAAATTCTCTCTGTTTGGAGCTCCATTATAGTTCACACATTTTTCACTTATCAGCGTTTGTCACTGTTTCAGGGAACCGCTTAAAAAATACGCCGTAGTTTTGCTGGGAAACGTTGCACTGGACGCTACAAAAGTCAAAACCACACGAAATCACAGACGAAGGCGAAAACTCTCAATCATTCTAGCGGCTCGTAGCATAGGAAGAGTACCATTAGGCCTCCCGGAGACGCAGAAGACATTCACAGTGCGGCGCAAACCCTCATCCCAACTCTGAACTCCATCTCCCAGGAACCCCAGCGGCGCCAGGCGGCAACATCCGGACCTGCGCGTTGACAGCGCCCAGTTCGTTGGTGGCAGTGCCATGACAACAGCAAGATGGTGTCGCGTCGGGAGCGAAATGTGAATTTCCGTGAACGGCGTTCGTGAAACCGGAGCTGCATGCACTGTGCTGTTATACTGTACCTACCCGGATACGCAGTTTGGTTTGGGAGGTATTGCGTGCACGCAAAGTGCAGCGTTTGCTTTTGCCGAGGGCAAGAGGAGAGGAAGGACGGGCGAGAGCCTGTTGTGCTGTTGGAAGTCGGGTCCTCATTGATTCCTGGCCTCGTCCAGGTGCCCTGCCAGCAGGTAGACAGTCCCTGCCCGCTGCCATTCACTGCCGCCGCCGCCGCCTTGTCCTGGGTGCTGCAAAACACGTTCATTAACGGCCGAAAGACACCCGAGCGAGAGCAAACAAAAAAAAAAGAAAGAAGGAGACTTTTAAACGCCGGAGTTCTGGTGCTTCTGAATAAAAAAAAAAACACAATAAGGCGAAGATCCGACCCCCAGCATTTTTTCTTTCCCAGTGTTTTTTGCGGGCTTGCACCGTCCGGCTCGATCGCAGCTGGATTGAGAGTTTCGTCTTGGTCTCATTTTGATGCCTGTTGGCACTTCCCAGCTGGGCACTGGTGCTGAGCCTGGCGGAGAGACGATCCTGCCCGCGGGAGAGCTGGGGTTTTCGCCGGGCAGGTATGTTGAGCTGAGAGGTACACGTTTCGTCGATTGGCTCGGACTAATGCAGATCTCGGAGGTGATCGGGCTCACCGGCAGTTTGGAAACTGAACTCAGTGTCTCAGATCATTTTAATTACTCGCGGTATAACAAGGATACGTTTCCGGCGGCAGATGCTGTTGTAAAGATGTCAGTTAATGTAGCTCACTCCGGGGTGCAGTTTAATCATATTCCTGTTATGTAACATCGCAAGCGTGTCAGATCGGGCTCTTCCTTTATTTGAGCGTCCAAAACGAATCATCAATTGCTCGTCTGAGGGGAAACGCGTTAAATCAAGTTTGATCGCTCGTTTTTTTTCCCCATACAGAAACTCTCAATACAGTACAGTTGATCGTGCAGCTCCGTACAGCAGTCTGCATGAAAAGTTCTTGTGTATTAATGAACATTTATGTAGTTTTATGCGGGCTTGTCACAGGCATGGAGCTGATCTGAGCGAGTCTAGACAGACTGTCGAGTAAGATTATCTTGAGAGCCCCAGGGGTGATTAAATTGACCATTTGGAAGATGGGATATTGCCCGCAGTCCAGCCTGGCTTGTTTCATCACCTGTATAGTTGGACGATGAATGGGGTTACATTTGCAGCTATTCGACATTAACCACTGAAACCAAAGGGACTTAACACACCGAGAGTTAAGGGAAGCCAGGTTTCTTTTTGTACAGGGGATTAGCTGTCTATTCTGCACTCGCAGCAGGAGGTATTAAGACAGAGGATGTTCTGAAACAGAACACAATCCCCAGTCACATGATACGTCTAATCACTGCGGAGATTATTCAAGATACGGGCACAGCCCATAGCGATCTGCTGCTCAGAAAGTTCTGCTGGTATAAGGCAGCGCCCGCTTTTTTAAAAAAAAAAATGGCATTGGTTTCGCCGAGTAAATCGTGTGCTGAGACTGTTGATATCCAGATTCGACCGTCTCCATCGGCCGATTTCATTGGCATGCTCAGCACATTTGTTTGTCTGAAAGTGTATCTGAATCATTCTATTTCTATCATGATTGCTTTCTTAATTCGGGGTTTCGCTCAGCGTGATGAACAAACGCCACACCACCCAAAAGCGTTTCCGAACACTTGCACAAAAAGAACACAATCGTAGGTTCTTCCTTTCGCGGAAAAGCAGTTGTATATAGATTGTAGGTCAATGGCCAGAGTCTTGCACTAAAACCATAGGGCTCCGGGCATGGAAAGATCATCGACTGCCTTTCTGTGTGCATTCTCCCAGTGCAGGCATTGAGCAAAACTGTAGACAACCTGTTGAAGCCCCTGGGATGCGTTTTACCCGGGACTCTGATGTAGAAATCTGCAGTCCCAATCCCACAGGTGGTTCCTCCACAGCACAGGCACTTAGTGCTTGGTCCTGCGCTTTTACAGGATGTAAAGATAGCAGGTTCCAGCAGGATGAGGTGTGCATGATGGTGTTTTATCCTCTTCCTAGTCTTGTAGTGAAGTGATTGTGTGTAAGGTGGCATTCTCTTCATAGGTGATCGCCAGCGAGGTTCACTCACTGCCCTGCGGGAAGGTTTTCTTCTGTTGTTTTCTCCTCGCAGGTTTCCAGTTCCTTACTGTGCCCCCTGGCTGAATATTGTTGCCCTGCGATTGGAGCATCACTAGTGGTGCTGCTTCGCTGAATGAACCCTGTTTTGCCTTTAAACAGAGAAGCATGTCCCTGTTTAAAGCTCGGGAGTGGTGGTCCGCTACGCTGGGCGATGGGGACGAGTTTGACCAGGGATGTTTGTGTGTCGGAGACGTTGACAATAGTGGCAGTGGACAAGGTAAGTTCTGAAGTTCCCGTGTCTCTGAAACTCGCTTTCTAACCCATAACCGAATTTTTAGTTAAATTGGAGCAAAAACGATGCATGGCATCTTTTTGGTTTTTACCTAAAATTGAGTTTTGCTAGAGTGGTGCATAGTAAAGACCATTTTAATGGGAAATCTCCTCATCCTGACTAGCGGTAGGTGAAAACAAAAAGGGTCTGCTATGGTATTTAGAAGCCTTCTTTTACCTAGTTAAACGAAATCACTTGTTCTATGTGAGTAACTCAGAGTTTTAAAAAAATATTCTGAAACGGAAGGTTTTGTTAAAATGCAGTCCAGCTATCGTCAAGGATGTTTTGCATTCTTCCTACTTTCTACTGTTAAAGACTGTAAGAGCACTTTTATTGAGGTACAAATATTTTCCTCTGAGATTGCAGAGAATAATTATCCAAGTATCAGCACTTATTATGAGGGGAATTGTAAACACTGATCTGGTACTGCTTTGGGTGCCTTATTCTCCTGGAGGACTTTTACTATGGAAACTCCAGACTCTGTCTCTGGAGTATTTCTTTCTACTGCTTTGAAGCTGCCTTTGTTTTACACACTAATAACTCAACTGGAGCTTGTTTATATGACAACATACGGGATATATGATCAAGGCACAATGCAAGCATAGTATTTATACTGGCATTGCTTTTTAGTATTTTAAGCCTCTTAATTACAGTCAAATTTGCTGAAAAACTTCTGTTTAATTGGCTTCTTCACTGCACAAATAGATTTAATGACATGAATTTCAAGTACAGGAACTTTAAATGGAATCATATTGCCTGAATTTTATTTTTGTGCAAGAGCAAGTTGTTGATTTTCTGTTCGAATGTTTTCTCTTTATTACACCTTTATAAATTGTTGATGTTGATTTATTTTCCTATTTTTGTAGAGGTGCCCGTTGTCTTTTGTGGAAATGACATGGGACATTTCCACAAGTTAATAGTAATAATTTCAACTAATAAAGTGCATGCACATACATATCATTTTAAAAGAAGAGAACGTTATGGGGAATATTGTCTCATTACTGTTGCTGACAACACACAGACTGGGGCAGTGTAGTAGGGGAACTCCATCACCTGCTACTGTAAACCTTGACACTGTCACAAATCTATTGCAGTGCTGCGCTTATTGATGTGTTGCAGCAGGTATTTCAGTTAATGCATTACACTACAATTGATATTACGTGTTTGTAATTATTTTGTTTTAGTACATAATTACTTTGAAAATGAGCTCAAAACAACCACAAATTGCCATAGCACGCTGTCTTTGGGGCCAGTGATCAGTGTCACTTCTTATGTTACTTGGAAGGCAATTCACTTGAAATGAATTCTCACATTTATTGCGGTAGTTGGATTCGTCCGTACGGGTTGCTCAGCGGACCTGCTGCTGTTTTCTGCACAGATAAGATTGTGGTGGGGAGCTACATGGGACTGCTGCGCGTTTTCTCCCCTCGCCCGTCCAAGCCTGGAGGAACCCTGGAGCCCGAAGAGCAGCTTCTGGAGGTGCAGCTCAGAGATCCTGTGATACAGGTGGAAGTGGGCAAATTCGTTTCGTAAGTGTTGTGCTGCTCCCTTTGCAAAGAAGAGAGAACTGCAGGCACATAGCGTGCAGCAGCTCTCATTGAAAGAGTATGTTCCGGAAATGCTGCTCATTTTAATATGCGTCTGCTTTTAAAATCGGATTTATTTTAAATACAATGTCTGAAAATAAGTGGGGCAGCAGAGCGTAGGTGACAGATTTGTCGTGGTTACCTTCCAGCTGTTTTTGAGGAAAACGACTTTTAAACTGGGATGAGAGAGAAATTGAGGCTGTGCATATGGCCTGTTTCAGTGCCACGTTGCTCTTATGACAGTCACAAAATACTCTTTATAAATCCTGTGTGTAATGCTGTGCAATCTGATTGTAGAACAGCTGACAGTCGCGCAAGCAAGCAGATTATTCTCTATTTGGATCATGCTAGGTCACTGAATATTGAATGCTCACTACTACCGATTACATGTGCACTAAATATTCCATAGTAAAGATACAGAACCCCCCCCCACAAAAAAATAATTACATGGATATATTTTATTGTTTTATTCTTCAGTAATCCAGAATGTTATGATGTTACCCATTTAGCTAATTTGTTTCATTCACATTTCAAATTCAACAGTAACCTTAAACCTCTCTAGCCTTAACAAGGTCAGACGAGTCTGAACTTTGGAAATAGTATTCCCACCTCTGAGCACTTCTGTGATTGTTCGCAGCAGAGGCCTTATTGGGAAGCGATCCTCTGGGATAGGCGGAACTGTCAGGTGGCAGGATTCTGTTCCATTCTTCTTACTGGGACTGGGCAAACATGCGCCTGGCCTAGACAGAGCACGTCATCCAACATTGTGGCATAAAGGTTCAGCTTGGATAAATAGGGCATAACTGTCACATTCTCCCCTCGCAAGAAGGCTGTTGTTATATGGGTAGTATGTGTACGTGCAGTATAAACTGGCAGCACAAAAGCATTCATGAAAATCAAGCATGAGATATTGACCTTTATGTGGTATCATGACTCGGTTCCCAGATCATGTCCTTTCATTGATGGACTGTGTCTGGTTGTCACGTTAGGATCAAAATGGCTTTCACTGCTAAAAGTTATTTCCTGTTTCCACCAAATCATCCTCAAGATAGTGATAGAGTTGTGCTGCTTTTGTTGTTATTTCTTCTGGCCAAGGAAGTGAGCCAGTTGCAAGCACTGTAGTTTTTCAGGACACAGTAGCAGCACAGGCCTAAAGTAGTGTTTTGTTGTGCCCATACAACCAGATGCGATTAAAGGCTTTGCAGGCTCATTTCACAAATAAATGAGAAGATACATGGGTATGATCATTTTTTCCTCTGGGAAACATATAGCACTACAGATCAGATATAGTCAGGAAATTATTTTAGATGAGTATTTATAATATTTTCTTTGTTTCTTTATGAGAGTTTAAAAGCCATGCATTGCCTGCTTTGCATTCGTAGTTGACTGTGCTTAACAGTATTATGTTCTCAACAGTTTACGTACAGTACAACATATTTTTGATTCACAGTTTCTGGCCCATGTAAGACTACTTGTACTGTATGTACTCGTTATAGGGGAATACTTTAAGTTTTAATCCGGCAACGGCTCACCCCTTCAACAAGGACGCCCTTATCTCTTTCTTTGTCCTCTAAATGCTTCCAAACCTTAGCACAATGTTTAATATTTGTGATGCTTAGCAATTGTGAAATAATGATTTGACCTTTTTCTCATGTAGATGCAAACAAAAAGCAAATTATAATTGGCTTCAGAAAGCATGTTTTATTCCTGTTACCCCTCTATCTGTTAATGGAACTGATATTGAAACAGTCAATGAATATAAATACTTTGGCTCTATTATTGACTTGGACTGCCAATAAGGAAGCAGAGAACCTGAGGATGCAACAAAGGTTGTATTTACTAAGGATTGTTAATGTATAAAGCATACTGTTGATGCTTTTTTTATAAGAGTTTTATTCATAGCTTTCTCACGTTTTGTATTCAGAGCCTTGTCCTTGCACAACAAAAATAAGTTGAACAAAATGATCAGGACTGGCGCATTCTTGGAGTTAATAACGTGTAATGGAGTGACATATTATTAATCTTGCACATAAAATCCCAGACGACCCCTCTCATTCACTCTTTTTAGAATATACTCTCCTATCCCCTGGAAGGAGGTACCAGACACCTCGTATAGAGACAAAGAGAGCATTTACTTGTTTATACATACTGTACAAGCATTAAATTGTTGAAAACTGAAAAAAATGTCTTACTGTTTTTAGACTTTTTTTACAAGCTAATTAAAAAACAGATAATCTCATGGTGCTGGAAAGGTTCTGATTGAGTCGTTGAGTGTTGTTTTGTATTATGGTATTGTAATGTTGTTGAATTATTGTCATATATGTAATATGATTATGAGTTCTTGATGTGCAAGGCAAATTCCCCTAGGGGCAGTAAAGATGAATTCAGTTCAATTTAAAATGTAATCTTCCATTTTGTTCCTCCATCTCCTGCTGTAAATTACCACCACAGACCGTTTTTCCAGTCCTCTTATCTGATGATTTCCTGGTTTCGACATTTACTGTGGTTCCAGGAATGGCTTACCCTAAATTACTGGCATTTTACCTTTTACCTCAGAAAGAGACCCTCTTAAAATGTCTTTTTGAAGATTTTAAAAGAATGTTTAGTAATTGTGCCGCTGAAGCAGTTAGAGAATGTGTGAATGGATTATTAGTAATTCTGTTTTTGTATGTTTTTTGTCTTCGGTGTCCCTTGTTAAAGTGAGGAGCCTGTCTTTAGATGTCCTTGGGTTTCCTTACTATTAATTTGTGGGAACTGAGACATCACAATGCAAAAATAAAGCATTAGACGAAACCTTTTTCTTTTTTACACCTTTCTGTGGCTAATTAAAAGCAAACGTTAACCTCAATCTTGTAAGAAACCTTACCTGACTGAAAAGAGCATGTGCTCTAAATGACAGTCCTATCTGTATATGTGTTAAACACTCACACGTACACACAATGATGACAAATTCACAATATCAAACAGTGCAATTCTTTTTCACTGTACTAATCTGTAATATTTACTTCTTAAGGAAAGCTTAGGTTTTAACCTAAAGCTTTTGCCCTAGTTTGGGCATCTTCTATTCATTTGACCTTTTTCCATCTCTGAGAATAATGCTACAGCTTCCATAAATAGAAAATAATTACTCATGAGGTACCGGTTGTATTTAAAAGTAATTTATATGATAAATAACCAATTACATCTACTGTATAACTGATATACTGAACATGTTTCCCTTCACGTTAATGGCCTGTAATTACTGAGCTTTATTAAAAAAAATAAATCTTACATTGATTTAAGATAAGCACAAATAAGAGATATATAGAGAAAGGCATAAATCACCCTGATAAATTAAAGCCTAGGCAGTGACTAGTTTCAGTCATGTATTACAATTATGGAAATGAATGCAATTTTTAACCTAATCCAAAGATCACAATCCATTGTAAGATCTAAAGCCTCATAGCTAATTCTGTTTCTTTACTGTTTGGAAGTAGTCTGTCATAGAGTTCAGTCCAGTGTTTTCTGGTGAACAGGTATTTGTAAGAGTTCTGTGATTGCATAGCTGCAGTATAAAAAATAGGTGAAGACATCATAACACTTCAAATGTTGTGAAATTTCATCTAGATGTTTGTTAATTGAGCCTAAACTGGGTTGAGAATCATTAATTTTATATAAAGAAGCTTGTCCTAGTCTGCATCCTTGATTAAATCCCTTTTTAGTTTTCAGTAGAGGACCCCTTCCTTTGTTTCACTTGTTTCAGTAGTCCTCTGTGTTCACCCTGTCTAAACCCTTTAGGATTGTATGTACTGAGGTCAGATGTTCCTTCAGTCTCCTTCCTCCTGGACTGAAGAGGTTTGTTCAGCTTCTTTAACCTGTCTGTATATTCCCGTTGTTCTTTTTTGAACTGCTATGTGTATGTTATCCTGAACACATGTATAATAATTTGAAGTAGTTCAGGTGGGGAGCTGTGTCAGCATGCGTAGTCTGCAAAGGAACAAGTAAGAGGTTTATTCCATGCTGAAAAGAGAAGAGAGAAAACGCAACGTTTCGGCCATAGAGCCTCCTTCAGGTGTGTGAACACAGAATAACCTGAACAGATCGTTCTAAAAGGAGTGTTACTAGTGCTTTGTAAAGCTTGAGTACACTATAACTTCCTCTGGTATTTGAGGCTAATGTTCTTCTGTGTGCGGATCACTTCAAACTTATCGACAGAAAATTTCATTTGCCCACCTTCTTACTGCTTGATTGTCTTTCAGTAATTCCCTTACTACTCTTTGGGTTTGTTTTTCTATCACATGCAACTTAACTTTTTTACTGTCATAATCTTAATTATTGTTATAGCAGCGGGAACAGCAACAGACCTCACTCCATGGTACACCACCTCTTACCTCTTAGCACCTCTTGAGAGTTCACGCCATTTAAGATGAAGTGCTGTTTTCTGTTAACCAGTTCCTGATCCATCACTATGGATGCCTGTGTCTTTTAATATGAAAATTATGCTTTTATAATGCTCCTTCACGGCCATTGTAGCCATCTGCTCCCTTTTGTGGGGTGGTCTTCCTAGAGCCAGCAGAGAGTACCTTTTTTAAAGCAGTTTTTGTATTGTTTTGTATTTTCTTTTTTGTCTGTCTGTTAAATGTTTTTGATTGCAGTCTTAGTTTAACGCATGAATTGCATGGAAATGGGGGTAGCATTTCTTCAACGAAGCAGACATCTTTCAATAAGGATTTCCTAAAGTTTTTAAAACAAGGTGCTGTATTGTACATTTTCAAACCCAGGTCCGACATTTTCTGAGCCGGTTTAAATTTCCATGTAACCAAAGACTAGAATGCCTTCAAAGTGATAGACGTGTGGCAACAAACCTTCATTTTAAAAGTGCCAAACCTATGTGGAAACAGCGGATATCATGCATCTGCCAAAGTGCTTTCTGGCTTTTCCGTTTCAGAACTTTGAAAGGGCCCACTTTGACAAGGGCTTTGTCACCTAGGACAGCAGGCTGGAAAAGACATTGCAAGACGTGTTAGTGAAAGGCAAGCTTTAGTAAGCCAGGGAAATTCCAGAGCCATTAGCATAAGCGATATTTAAGAAAACAGGAAAATAGGAATTCGTACTACTAACGATATTTTCGTTTTGGAACTTGTACAGGATGTACTATGTAGTTCAGGTGGGTTCACACACCTGAAGAAGGCTCCACGGCCGAAACGTTGTGTTCTCTTTCTTCTTTTTTTTTTCAGCATGGAATAAACCTATTACTTGTTCCTTTGCAGTATGTACTATACCATGTGGAATGTTTTTTGAGTGAATGATCATGCAGGATGGTGCTGTTTCTCTGTCACTGCTACAGAGGTTCCCCTGAAGTAAGGGGCAGTAGAGCAGGTACAGAATGTTGCTTTCATGATAAACATTGAATATATCATTAGTACAGTACTAAAGTTATTCCCTATATGAAGTTTTAATATATGAAGAAAGAAGTATTGTATTTTAAAGGTGAGGACCTTTGAAAGATTTGCACCTAAAAAGTGAATTATTTTATTTGAAGATATGTACCTACTGTAAATATTTTGATGAAAAACGATGCTACCCATTTTGTAGAACTGCTAAATTCATTTGTTGGGTCTTTTGACCAGCCTAGGTGAGCACTCAATGATAATTGTAATCATTCTAACGATAATTGGGGCTGGAGGCAGGGATGTTCCTGATGGTATACTGTAGGTTACAGATTGTCTTGAATTTCCTCTGTCTTTACTTTTCTGCGTAATAAGAATGTTTAAATAGCCTTTTAAGACAAATCTTTCTGTTAACATGGATGCTATTGAAGTCCACGTGCATCTGGCTGTTTTACAGAGATTTAATATATATACTATAACCTAGTGCTCTCATTCTAAAATAATGACAGTTAAGACTTAAGGTCTTTAGGAATTTTGACAGTGAATGTTTTTTTTTTCAATGCATTTTTGAATTGTTGTGGATTGCCAAATATCTCTTGGATTTCTGTTTGTTTGGGACTGCTTTGCAATTAAATGTTTTTAGATTTCTATGCAAAATAAAAATAAATAAAAGAAAGGTAATAGATCTTTTCACAAAGAATCCATCCTTTCTAATTGTGCTATCAAGGATATGGGGTAGACTTTACCACTGCTGTGCACTTCAGACAAAAACATGAATTGCATAAAAATAGAAATGGAAAATGAAAAAATGCAACTGATGCACATATTATTTTATTGTATCATTAAAAAAAAATTTGGTGAAAAAAGATTTTTTCCGTATTATACCATAAGATGGGATTCAAAAGGATGTGTACCGTCTGCACCTACACTTTGAAATTGTATGTAGAAAATGAATATAAAATAAAAATCAATAGTATAAAAAGTGTAGTAATTGCAATTTAAATCTTTACACTGAATGATTATTTTAAAGAATATGTGTAAACTGGCGTTTTATAACAATGACTTGATTTGTTGTATTGAATTATAGGGTGTGATTATCAGTAATGTGAAGGAACTCTCTTGATTCTGGTGTAGTGACCTGGACTTAAATGTGCTTTATTCTCCCCAGATGTTCAGACCTGCTTCATCTGGCTGTGTTACACCCTAGAAAATTGTCAGTCTGTGCTATTGCAGGTAAGAGCCATATAGCTCATTCTTAATAAAAATGTGTTCCTTGAAGAATCACATTTGTTTTACATGCATTCTGATTCAAATTCACTATTTCAGGCATGTCTGTATAAAAAAATCAATACGTATGTCATTGTGAGCAGATTTTGGAACCAGTTGACAGACATTTCTGACAATTTTTCAAAAACTTTAATTTGATACACAGTTTTTTAAATGTCAGCTTATTTATATAGAATATAAATTATATACTGTACCTCATTTTTAAAAATATGAATTGATATTTATCCTTTTTAAACTGTTTCATTTTTTTCTTTTCAATATGCAATTGTAGCAACTGCGGGCAATGTAGAACATGGAATTCAGTACCAGTTAAGACTTGTGTATGAACACAATCTTCAGAGAATTGCCTGCAACATGACATATGGTCCCTTTGGTGGAGTTACAGGTATGTTCATTAATAATTAATAATTGCTTACACTTATATAGCGCTTTTCTGGACACTCCACTCAAAGGGCTTTACAGGTAATGGGGACTCCCCTCCACCACCACCAATGTGCAGCCCCACCTGGATGATGCAACGGCAGCCGTAGTGCGCCAGAACGCTCCCCACACACCAGCTATCAGTGGGGAGGAGAGCAGAGTAATGTAGCCAATTCATAGAGGGGGGTTATTAGGAGGCCATGATTGGTTAGGGCCAATGGGAAATGTGGCCAGGACGCCGGGGTTACACCCCTACTCTTTTCGAGAAACGCCCTGGGATTTTTAATGACCACAGAGAGTCAGGACCTCGGTTTTACGTCTCATCCGAAGGACGGCGCCTGTTTAAGGTATAGTGTCCCCGTCACTATACTGGGGCATTAGGACCCACATGGACCGCAGGGTGAGCGCTCTTCCAGCAGCAACCTCAGTTTTTCCCAGGAGGTCTCCCATCCAGGTACTGTCCAGGCTCACACCTGCTGAGCTCCAGTGGGCTACCAGTTGTGAGTTGCAGGGTGATATGGCTGCTGGCTCATAATTTCAAGCAATAGAACAGTGAGCTAAGACTTCTCAGACGCCAGTGTTTTGAAAAGGGGTCATGCATCTCCCAGTGAGGTCCTGGGAAGAGAGAAACACAACATAAACTATTTTTGACTCAAGCTGAAGACACGTTTAACACCTAAAGGTAATGCAAATACATACATGTAATAAAACATTTTTGTCTGTATTGGTATATAGTTCAATTAGTTAAATGTTAACACTCAAGACCTTGATATTAAATGGAGCTATTAGGTCTAAAGATACCACTCAATTGCATGATTTTCAGTGTACCTTCAGTGTACCAACTTTTGTGCTCAGTTTCTGGCTTTTTGTGCACCATATGCTGATACATGAATGTGAGGCAAGCAAGGGGAAATATTCCAACCCGAAGAAAGAAAACATTGCAATTTTTATAGTCAACTGCTCATTTCCAGTAACCCAGAGACATGCCGGTTTGCGTATTTATAATTTAACTTCTTTTACATGAGAATGAGGGTTTTTTGTGGAAGGTTTGTATTTTTCTGTCAGGCATGACGGGAACATGGTTTTCTGCCTGTAAGTTGAATATTTCAACAATAAAGCCTTTATTTTATGTCCTGTGCCATTTGAGTGTCAAACAGATTTTCTTTAAATAGGCTGATCTTAGTTTTGATATTACTTTTTTATTAGAAAGGATTTTAGGACTAAAGTCATTGCTTTTCTTGGATTCCAGTTACCACTCATGACAATTTTATCCTGCTAAATGATCACAGAAAAGTGGTAGATAGTAAAACTAAAGCAAAATTAATTCCAGAAATCGCAGGGCTTGAAATTAGAAACAGGTTATTATACTGTTCCATGGCCAGCTTGTTCTAAAATAAGTACAAGCTATAAATATGAAGGAAAATATTATCTCTTACTTAGCCCACACACACAGTTTGTTTAAAATGTATTGAGACGCTTAGAAAAGTTGGAACGCAGAAATAATCTTTACTGCAATTTACTAAAGTGTTCTTGAGCATTTTAATCTCAGTAGATTTTCTTTACATGAACTTTTAAATTGTCTTTCAGATGATATTTTGTACAAAATCTAATATACATGGAATTTGACTATGGAACTACCTAACATAAATTACCCATTCCTAAACAGCCTGTTATTTTGGTAGCTTTTGCATTGACTGTATAATCCTACTTTTATTAAATATAAATAAAATATTATGTCAGAATGAAAGTTAAAATTGTTGTCCATTATATTTAATCATAAATTCTAAAGCGTGTTTAATGTTATACAGAATACACATCCATTTGTTATTTGCATATACAATTGAGGTTCAACACATCTCATCTTAAAAATAGCATCATTAAAATGATTGAAAACTGACATGAATTGTACTGCGTTTAAACGTACAGTAATTAAATGTACTGTACATTGTACCTAAAGTATCCAATGTAAACACAAAGAACCACAAGGTGGCAGTGTGAGCACTGCTGTGTGTAGGAGTTTCTCTCGCAAAATGCTTTTGGTTACTTTTAAAATACAGTATATGCTGTATGTGAAGACAGCAAGTACGTATTCTTATACTACACAAAAACATGTATAATTCTTGCAATTATCATTTAGTGTGCAGTCACATTTAATTGATTATAATGTTTGAATTATCACTGTTGTGTTTTTAAGGATGTCACATAGGGGAGATTAGCACTTCGTAGGATGTGTAAGAGGTGGTCAGTAGACCAGGGTGTTGCAGTAGTAAGCAGTATGTATAAGAGGAGACAATTAGTAAGGCGTAGTAAGACTTGTGGAGGTTAAGGTAACTACCGTCCTTGAACCCTTTGTTATTGTTTTGTGATTTGGGGTTGCAGTCTTATTGTGGAATAACAGCTGAGCTGTCCTGACTGTTATAAAGAGGGCAGTCACAAGTTTAACTAGAGTTCAGCAGGGCCAGGGTTTGTGTTCCTTCATTGGCAGCATCTTGAATCTGGAAAACTCTTCATTATTGCCCGGTAACCACCTGGACTTCTGCGTAGTGTAACACTAGTGTTGGATTGGAGTTTGTGTGAAGGTCTCCTGAGCCATACTACCTCAGCTGGTGATCTTTCAGAAGTAATGCAGTTATTCTGCAATTGCAAAGTATGTGTTATATTGTAAAGTACGTTATTAACCCTGCGTATCATTATTAAATTGTTAAAAACGAAAAAGCCAAAAAAAGACCTTCTAAGGTTAAGTAAGAACAGCTCAGAAATTAGAAAATTAACAGTATTATACAGACCAATTTTTTCATTTGTTAAAGCACTGTAGAATAGCATAAAGCAGGAAAGAAATGAATTCATATGGAAAAGTGCATGTGAGGAACTACTTCATTTTAAGCACTTTAGATACTCGTTGGTTTGAAAGTATTGTTTTTTTGAAAATATTGGTTTAATATTCACAATTGGTATGAAAATAAGAAATGTTATCTTTACTTTGTTCAGTTTGTCTCATTTTGGTATTTGGCTGTTTTACTGCCACATCGATTATTAATACTGTGTATACTAATTATTAGTAGCTTTTAACTTTCCTGTGCTTTTGTGTGAGGTGAGGAAACTTAGTTAGGTTTAAGTTTCACGTGAAATGATAGTTCATAAGGGCTTGCTTAGCTACAGGGTGGCCCAGTCCAAGTCCTGATATAGCAGTGTTCTTTGTTTTAGAGGGGTTGCTGGTGGAATGCCACGACACACATTGAATGAAATCTATCTGGTGTAATATTACATTCAATGTTATAGAATAGGGCGTTACACCATAATCAGAAGCTAGGAACGGCTGATCCCAGGGAGAGGTATCTAAGGAACCACAGATCTGTTTGATTTTGAACAAAATATCTGACCATAGGTGGCACTGATAAAAGAAGTGGATGCAGACATCTTTTAGGCCCGTCCTGTAGACAAATAAACTACCAAAACAAACTTGCAAGACCACCAATAAATAACCTGTATTTAAGGATAGGCTTTTAGAAAATTGTTTCATTCTGGACTGTGTGGCTAACTGACTTGTACTTTGCCATTTTTCTTCTGGGATACTTTAGTACATGTGGATTAAAATACTGCTTAACATACATGTATGTTGGTTTTTAAAGGGGCATATACCTTTTTTAATTCTATTTTTTTTGTGCTATTAGCACAGCACATGAATGGGAGCTGTTCTTACAGTCAAATAGTTGGCAGTCACATACACAGCTGAGGAAGGAAGTTTTGTGAAACATGTAAGCTTATTTGCTTTAGCTTTGTTGATGTTCAGTTTCCTTATTCAGAACCACATATCTGTGTTAACACTTAAAACCAAGAACTTTTCCTTAAATAACATTAACATGCTCATCAAGCAATAGAATCCATCTGTTATTGAACCGTCTAGAATGTATTTATGTGCACTATTGATTTTTGTACATTATTTTTATTCATCAGGCCACTCTACTTCAGTAGCATTTAGATCTAGAAACGGAATAAGAAAATATATATGTTTTATATTTTTGCATGCAAAAATACAGAAAGTATAACTCAGGACAGCAGCAAATAGTGTGATTAAAATGTGCTTGCTTTGAAAATGTTATTAGAGTGGAAATTCTTTTACAACTCTGCAAAAACACTTTTTAATAGAGTTTGATATTCATGATGCTTTTTGGCATTTCGTGCATGATATCTGTGACTAGAAATATTTCTGACTGGCTCCCTGATATTCATGGCAGGGGACATTTACGGACTCCCATGTCACTTGATCTCAATCCCGCTAAAAGTGTGTTTGATTTTTACCTGTTGGGATACCAGAAATATCAATTATTCTAGGACGAGCTTTGCCTTTTTGAGGAAGTAAAAGCATAAATTGATCAACACTTATTTGCCTGTCATGTTTCAGAGGGCATGGCATAATGTAACTTTTTCTCCTGTGCAATACTGTAAGACAAGAAAGCAGTTTCAAAGGCCCACTGAAACATTCTTTGTTCAATTTAGTAATTGGGAGCTCATTTGGAAACGATTGGGCAGCTAGGCATCTAAGAAATCACAAATCAGTATAATAAGTCAAATAAATGTGTTTCTTTTTCTTGAGGTCACCACTTTATTTGCATACAGTCCATGGATGGGATGCTGATGTTCTTCGAGCAGGAAAGCTATGTGTTTGGCAGGCTCTTGCCCGGTTTCCTTCTGCCAGGTCCGCTGAGCTACTGTGCTCGCACTGACACCTTCATCACGGTTTCCTCCACAAGACAAGTTGAGAGCTACAAGTACGTATATTCAATAGGTATTAAGAGAAAAATAAACATGATTTAAAAATATCAGAGAGCATTTGTCAGTTAATCCTTACATCATGTTTGAGGTATGTTGGTTGGGGTTTCCTTTCGTCTGTGGGACTCTGACAAGTTGCCTTTCAGTACTTTACCATCAATAGTTCTTTTTTTGTACTGTGTGGGAAACTGGTCCGAAGACTATATATTATATCATTTAATATAGCGGGACTTAGAGAGAGAGCAAAGAGGTTATTATGTCCAGTGTTATTTCCTTGCTACTTACTGTAGTAGGATCAGTTTCTTAAGATCATGTCTTTAAATACTTATGTGGTGAAGAAAATGGTTTGCCATTTTCATTTTTTAGCCAAGAACCACATCCGCAATATTTAAGATTAAACAGAAAGCAAGAAGCTAAGACGGGTAAAAATAGCGATATTGCATACTGCATAATGCAAACTCACTGTTATCATATCCTTGGATATTTCTACAGCTGAGCTTCATTAGAGACATGATAAGAGGAAAGTTTTCACTTTCTAATTAAAATTCCACTCTGATGCTTGTGTTCTCAAATTGTTTATTTTTGGAGTTGTAAATCATTGTTTTAACAATAATAAAGGTAGCGTTTTATTTAAAACACATGGGATATCAAGATCTGTCTACCCAGATCAATATGAGGCAGCAAATCCTTAGGCTGCAATTTAAATAAGCACCATAAGATTGCTTATATAGGAACTCTGACTTGTTTTAGCCATAGATTGGCTGATCATTTAAATTCTTGGTGGATCTGCACGGCTACATCTCGAAATGGATATAGTGCAAGCAAGGGGAAGTCCAGTCCTTGGAGCATGAGGATATTCTGGTTTTCATTCCACCTCCATTTATTTTATTTTTTAAATCTGGAGCTGTTTTGATGAGTGCGTTCTTCAAGGTACATATTTCAATAAATGTACAGTGTGTAAAATTGTCTCACGTCAAAAGAAATGTGGTAAATCTGATTATTTATGTAACAACGGGTAACAATTATTTAAAATAAGCCATATTCTAATAAGAATATGCACACATTCTGTATGTCTAAAGATTAACAACATTTTTTTCTGCTGAACGTTTTGAATGTAATCTCTTTAATGTGAGGTAATATGGAGTTGTAATGTATGAATGCACTGTTTCAGATATATACCTTCCATACAAATAGGGTTCTTCTGTTTCTTCTAGCAGGAAGTATTAACAGTGTTGAGTGATACTCCATTCCTATTCATACCATCCGCCATGGCACCCATCCAGTTAAATTACTTCCTGATTATGATTGTTGAAATGAAATTAAATTGCAATTTCGGTAATCATTCTATGCCTGACGTTTGAAAATCTATCCTGTATCGAATATTTTAAGAATCCAGTTTGCACAGTATGTGCGGTGTAGCGTGGGCAAGGTGGCATGATAGTTGTGCTGCTGTCTAACAGCTCCTGTGTCCTGGGCTCATAAGAAACGAGGTTAAAAACAAGAAGAAGCCAAATGGCCCATTTCAGCCATTTGGTATTTAGTAGCTAATTAATCCTATGACCTCGTCTAGCTGTTTCCTAAATACAGAATTCTAGGATTATAAAACACAATTTAAGCCCTTACCATCAGCCTGTTTTATATTAGCCTACTCCCACCGTTTATTATAAAGTCACAATTGTTTTGAAATGTAATTGTTATGGAGGAAACGCATTTTAAGAGTTTTGGTATTTAGAAACACATTTTTGTTCGGCACAGGTACCAAACACTTGCTGTTGCCACAGATGCTGATACCAGGAAAGAATCGGAACAGCAAAAAGTTGGCTCAGGGAAAAGACTGGTGGTAAGTGTGGCTTATAAATCTGATCAGACACTCGGGCAGGACAGCAAAGCTTTTGGCACGGAAACCTTTTATCAATGTTCTCCAGAATGTGTCTGATGCACAAATAGGAATTGTACTATAATATTTAAGATGATTTTATTAATGATTAAAATAATAACTCCTTATGGGCACTTTTAATGCAACATTATCAGCTTGTCTCCATGGATTTTTGCACTCATTTAGAAATATGCAGATATGTGTAGCTTTGGTTCTTTATGTAAGGTACTCCCTCAGCATTTGTCCTCCAAATCAAAGATGGAATTCTTGAAAAATGTATATCGCGTACAGTGTCTACCAGATTTCCAGATGTAGAAATTTCCGCCCGTGAAAAAAGAATAAACATCAGAAAAACAACCGAGAAAGAAATGATTGGATATTGTTCTGAAGAAAAAAAACAAAAATGTCATCCTGTAATCTTTATGGAACACAGTGAAGTCATGTGTGTTATAATTGAAATTCACTTAAAATGCAAATATCACATTTAACTACATCCCCGCAGTTAGTGTTATGTAAATCCTCCTCTGACAGGAATTACAAGACGGCTACAGAATTGGGCTAGGTCCTTCGGACCCTATGGTTTTCATACGCGCTGCCTGCTTGCAAGTATAATAGGCCTCTTGTGGGGCCACATTTATCAGTCTTCTTTCCTGTAGTACAGGACAGCCAGAAGGCGCCTGTTTAAATACAGTCTTCTGGAATCTCTTCTGGATCTCACCCTCTTGTGGTATTTTGGTTGGGCAATATAGATATTGCCATATATGACATATATGTAGTTAAATGCTATTTTTATTGAACCCCTTTTGTTTTTCAATAGGCAGACTGGACTCTAATGATTGGAGAACAGGCTCTGGATATATGCATTCCTTCCTTTAATCACTCAGCTTCCACAATATTTGTCTTGGGAGAGAGGAACTTATACTGTTTGAAGGACAATGGCCAGATCCTCTTCATGAAGAAACTGGAGTACAATCCAAGTTGCTTCCTTCCATATGCGTCAGGTGTGTAACACTGCATGTATTTTCAGGTGCAAGTGAAAAAAAAAACTGTTTATATCATCCTTTTCAGGTGATATAAATAAACCCAAAGAGGGTTTATTTATGAAAATGTAGGTTTTGAACTTTTCACTGTTGTTTTTAACCTCATTGAGTTGTTTATTCATTGTGCTGTGGCTCCTATTTATTTTACATTTTTGTTCCAGATTTT